GTTCAAACTGCTGTAGGGTGCCAACCTACGGGCAATGCAGCTGTTTGTAATATCGATGGTGCTTGTTCAAACTGCTGTGGGGTGCCAAGCTGCAGGCAATGCAGCTGTTTGTAGTATCGATGGTGCTTGTTCTAACTGCTGTAGGGTGCCAACCTACAGGCAATGCAGCTGTTTGTAATATCGATGGTGCTTGTTCAAACTCCTAAAGAATGCCAAGGTGCAGGCAATGTAGCTGTTTGTAGTATCGATGGTGCTTGTTCAAACTTCATGTAGGGTGCCAACCTACAGGCAATGCAGCTGTTTGTAATATCGATGGTTCTTTTTCAAACTCCTAAAGGGTGCCAAGCTGCAGGCAATGCAGCTGTTTGTAGTATCGGTGGTGCTTGTTCAATTTGCTGCAGGGTGCCAACCTACAGGCAATGCAGCTGTTTGTAGTATCGATGGTGCTTGTTCAAACTCCTAAAGGGTGCCAAGCTGCAGGCAATGCAGGTGTTTGTGGTATCGATGGTGCTTGTTCCAACTCCTAAAGGGCGCCAAGGTGCAGGCAATGCAGCTGTTTGTAGTATCGATGGTGCTTGTTCAAACTGCTGTAGGGTGCCAACCTACAGGCAATGCAGCTGTTTGTAATATCGATGGTGCTTCTTCAAACTCCTAAAGGGTGCCAAGCTGCAGGCAATGCAGCTGTTTGTAGTATCGATGGTGCTTGTTCAAACTGCTGTAGGGTGCCAACCTACAGGCAATGCAGCTGTTTGTAATATCGATGGTGCTTGTTCAAACTCCTAAAGGGTGCCAAGCTGCAGGCAATGCAGCTGTGTGTTGTATCGATGATGCTTGTTCTAACTGCTGCAGGGTGCCAACCTACAGGCAATGCAGCTGTTTGTAATGTCATAATGGTGTTTGTTCAGACTGTACTGTAGGGTTTGTAACATGTAAATGGTGCTTGTTCGGACTGCTGTGGGGTGCCAACCTACAGGCGTTGCACCCTGCAGCCTGTAGGCTGGCACCATCAGCAGCTTGAACAATCACTGCGGACGTTACACAGAGGTGGAACGCTTGTGGGTTGCCACCCACGGCAGTCTGAACAAGCATCACGAAAGTTTTAAACATATGTAACTTCTGTAACACTTGAGGTTGGCACCCCACGCAGTCTGAGCAACCACCATGGACACCACCAAGTTCGTTGGCATCCTACAGCAGTCTAAGCAAGCACCATCGACATTACAAGCAGCTGCCAGCCTACAAGTGTTGCAGCTGTCCGCCAACCTAAAGGCAATGCAGCTATTTGTGGTGTTGATGGTGCTTGTTCAGACTGTAGTTGCCAACCTACAGCTGTTGCAGCTATTTGTAATGTCCATGGTGCTTGTTCAGACTGCGTAGGCAACTGTTAGGCAATGTTGCACCTGTTTGTAACTTTCGTGGTGCTTGTTCCGACTGCTGTAGGGTGCCAACCTACAGGCAATGCAGCTGTTTGAAATGCATTTTATTGCTTGTTTGTGATGTGGAAGCAGCCATGCTGCAAGCTACCAAACATGTTGACATTTTCGCAGGAAGCAGCCAATGACAAGTGACCACCTGATGACTTGTTTTTCATCAATTTGCTATCAAATTATTGTAGAATCTACTGATGATTTATTTCTGGTGGCCAGGTTCCACAGAGGAAGAAACAACGATGCCATGCAAAACATGCTTGGCTTATTGGACTTGACCCGCTTGGAGGTACAAGCAGGGAGATTTTGTAGCTGCGGTTCAAGGCCAGGAGCGGTTTTGAGCCACCTCCTAATAGTAAGGCCAGGAGCCCCTAGTAGCGTCCTTTCTCCTAGTTGACATACTAAACACCTCATGACTTTTAGTCCGCTCTTGAATTTGGATGGCCCTGCTTTGCGCCTGATGCACCAAATGCACGGGAAACTGAAGCTTTGCGCCTAAGGCTACACAAAAGCACTTGCCTGTGATCCTGCCATTGAAGATGCTGCAGCAATCTTCGGCAATTTGGCACATTGCCGGCTGCACCCTCAAGTAAGAGAAGCGGTGTTTGGTCTTTCCATACGGAGATCAAAGATACAGGGACAAGGCAGTAAAGAGAAACCATTGAAAGGAACATCAAGGAACTAACTTTTGCTATCGTTGAAAGTTGAGAAGGCCGATGACAGGAACGTTTTGCGTCTGTGCGGCTGGCATCATATGCAATGTATATCGCCATCTATAAACACCTTTGCTTCAGGACCAACAAAACATCAGTTCTAGAGAATCGACTTTGCAATTTGTGATGGGAAGCCTGGTGAAGTCTCATGCTTTGACCGGCTTTCACAAAGGTTATGCCTTGCCCAGCCACACTGCGCCAAACTGAGCCTGTGCACGCGTGTGCACGCCTGCACGACTGACCGTGCTCGATCACCTCCGGCGCGACAGGTGCTATTGCAGCTGCAGCGGCCTGCTTGCGTTTGTTGCCTTCTGGTGCAGTTGCCATGAAGGCAGATTTTCTCAAGTAGTGGTGCCACTTCCTCCAAACGTGTATCTCTAAAACAAAGGAACTTCTGCTGGGTCTTCTCCGTTTCGCTTTGCATCGCTTTGCTAACATTTTTTTTTGCAATATGGAACAGGAACCTGCACCCACGTGGCGCTTACGCTTCCGAAGCCCCAGTCCTGTTAAGTCTCGGCTCAGGCAGCTCACAGGCTTGCCGGAGCTGTGGCCTGCACTGGAGAGTTGAGCCTGGCGGAATCCGTGGCCAAGCTGTCAGGGGTCCCCAGGCAGATGGGCATCGAAAATGGCCTCAGACTTCAATGCAGATGTGATAGATTAGTAGTTTAATTGTAGATCATAGTGGCCGCACCAGACCCGTGCCGTGGCTGTGGCGAGAAACCACAAGACCTGTGTCGTGGTATTCTTGAGCGAAAGCGTTGGCCCTTGAGCCACAGTCACAGACGAGGTTTGATGCCCTGCCTCTCGATGTCCCTTGGCAAGAGAGCAGATGCTCCGGGCGAAGAGTGGCTTCCGAAGGTTCGCAACAGTCTCAACACATTTGCGCTTGATTCAACAGTCTCAACTACACCCATCCGCGGTTCAGAAGCCAGTTCCAATCGGTTCGAGCCTTCAGTTCCAAGAGACGAGAGACAGATCTTCATGGTGTCAATCCGACTCCTCGACCCAGCGACTCCCAACGACCTGCAAGGAGCAGGCAAAAGAGTCCTTTTATATCCTTTTATCAACCGTCCATCCTTTCAATCTCTTTCATTCTTGGTTGACCTGTCGGGCGCTCTGGTGGATTTGGGGGGAAGATTTTCAGGTTGAATCCAGTACTCAAGGGTGTACTCAAGGGTGTGCTCAGGAGCCACGACGCCACCGGAGTACGAGGTTCCATTTTTCGTGCCACGGCACATCAGCTGGTCCTGTCATTTTCGTGCCTCCACTCGCGCGATCCCGAGGCACCAACAGCGGAGGCGGCACGAAGACAATGTGAGAAGTTGGTTCGACATCGAGAGCTCCTTGAAAGGTTGCAAGAGGGAGCCGTGACAGGTGAGGATGAAGTTACAGAGCTTTTGCAGAGCACCATCCCAGTAGACTTTTGCGGGCCTGTGCAATTCAAGGGCGAAGGTCTTTGCACCACTCGAAACGTTTGCAAAGGCACTTTGCTGTTGATCGCTCGGCCACTTGGTGGAGCTGCCACCATGGAAGAAGCCCTCACACTTGTGGAGCGGACGTCGCAACGTCTCCGGCATTCCGAGACCCTATGCGACCGACTGAGCTACCTGTGCAGCGTCGACCTGGCGGCCAAAGAAGTCCTCCGACTCCTCGCGTCGTCGGACGCGGCGGCTGCGGCGTCTTCGGGAAGGGCGTTGCTGCTTTCGAATCCGCGACCTCAACTGCTACCACTCCTGGGGCAACGTGCGGAACTTTTTTGTCTGGATCTGATCCCTCCCGTGAAGTTGGATCAGATCATTGAAAAGCATCGAGAGTCGCCCGAAATCGAAGGAGATGAGAGGATCAACCTCTTGGGATCTCTCAAAGCTTCATTTTCTCATTCCTTCCGAGATTGCGGAGATCGTCGAGCCTTGGGGATTTATCCTGCTTTGAGCGCATGTCAAAGAGCTGCAGAAACTGCCAACTGCATTTCAGTACGTCATGGCGATGGGATAGCTGTCCTGACCTCAGTGGGCTGCACAGTGCGTCCTGACCCCCAAACAGTGTGGCAGCCGAGGTGCTTGCAGCAGACGAGCTCCAATGTGAGCAAATCCTGCTGTTGGAGACAAAAGGAATATCATGGAAATTGATGGAATATCATATCCATTGATGACTTCTAGGACTTGGAATGCAGCTGGCGGTTGTTTGGAAATGCAGGCTTGTTGACTGCTTTTTTGTTGCAGGCAGCTCCACTCTACCTTTGTCAACGACGCTGCAAGGTGGCAGTTGTTTTTCTTCTGCAGAGCAACTTCGGAGAGTTCACGGAAGATGTTTTCCACCTCGATGAACGAGCGAGCACTTACTTGGCTGTAAGCGGTGTTTGACTTGCTTCAGAGTATGACCTCAGACCATAAAAGCAGGACGGTCCGGTTTGGTTCACCTTCCAGGCAGCGCAGACAGCGGTGCAGGAAGCGGGCTGCTCCATGTTGACCGCATCAGAGGACTAGACCTTTCCTGAGAAGAGAAGTCTGCAGCTAAGAGGATCTAAGAGGTATGGAATAGGACCTCATTATTCTCATTTATTCTCCCTTGAAACCAACTACGGACGTTCGAACACTATTGGGATGGAATAGGAACGTGGAAAGCATAAGCGCGATGAATTCTGAAAAGCATTTAAAGACATAACCCCTTAAACCTATAGAGATACAATGACTCTGACTGACAAAAAAGCAATGTTCCAAATGTAAGGGTTTTCAACCACTCAACTATTTTATAAATGAATGTAAGCAATGTAAATTGTTTCTGGAAGCAAAGCAACGATACAGGGAGAAAAACCAAGATAAATTAAGAGAGTATGCCAGACAATACTACTATCGTAAAAATGAACAAACATTAGTATGTCCGGTGTGCGAAAGCATCATAAACAAATATCAAGTCAAACGACTCGCGACACGAGGAAAGCATCAAACATCAAAACAAAGTAAAGGAAAAGAACAGCCAAAGGTTATAAGAAATGGAGAGGATGATGAAACTGGCATTATGGGAATATAAACTCAAAACCAGAAAAGAACACTACAAAACACAACACAACAACCTAAACAATCATCCACCTCGTTGAATTATAGCAATGATAGTGAAAGTTATGACCCAAAAACACGCATAACAAGACCCAAGAAAAATGACAAAGGCTCAACACAAATTTTCAAGACCCAAGAACATTCAACGAGGTGATTGATGAACCAAAACTCCTCAGAACCATCCTTTCACCATTGTTTTTTTGAGGGGGGTATTGAGAACATTTTGCTCGGAGCTTGGTGGGGGAGAGCGAGGGTCAGAAAAGCAGTGAAAATATGGTCTGGTGATGCGAGTGATGCAATGGACACTGAGTAGTGCATCATTAGCATCATGAAGGGCTTTGGAAGCTATTTGGACAATGGGCATTGAGCAATCGAGTGGAGATAGGGACCCACGTACAGAGCAGACTGCCGCCGCATGTAGGAGTTGAGTTCCGTAACTCGCGAAGTCCATAGAGAACCGAAAGTGACATAAGTTCAAGTCCATGAATTTGGATTGAGTTTCGGTGGGGATGCCTGCGAGGTTGACTACATATCCGCATAGGGCTCCTGCCAGCTAGCAAAAACTATACTTGCACCATGTCCTCGGTCGAGTGGATGCTTCTCGCGGCGTCCACACGCACCGAACGTTTTCCCGGCTTGCCGGTGCAGATAGATAGATAGATAGATAGACAGAGATAGATAGATCTATAGATAGATAGGTAGATGGATAGATAGATAGATAGATTCTATATGCTAATGACGTCGCCTTTTTGCTGGCAGCCCTGGCCGAATCCAGTCAGCGAGGGTCCGCGGCCCAAAGATCTACACACGCAGGTGCCAAAGTCAAGGCCTCTGAGTGAGAAAGGCGCAGAGTTGATAAGAAAGAGAAGAATAAAGAAGGTGTTTGGATCGTTTTAAAAGGCTCCTTTAAAGGAAAAAGACTGTGTTTTGGATCGAGCCAGAACATGACTCACTCAAGTCCAGGCATGTGCATCGATAGGCGCACAAATCCTCACTCCTTTCCTAGCCCAAGCTACTCCCGCACGACCTCCCCTTCTGCGCCGCGGGATCAAACGTCCGTGTCCCGGCTAAGACGTGCCCGTTCACTCTTCCAAATCAACAAATGCCGCTTTTCGACGTGCCGCAGTATGCAGTGCAAACTTCAAACATTCCAAATGTAACAAACATACACTTGCTTCTTTTCAACCGCGCGCCGTGCTCGCACGCGGTGACGCTGACTATGGAGAAGCTCTTCCTGCACGCGCGTGCGCGGTATCCCCCCACTCGAACTCAGACGGTATTTCCCCTTCGCTAACGCTGATGTCGCCTTCCAACTTCCAACTTCCATAAGCCGCATACCTTCCTGCATGTGGTCTGACAAGCACATGCCATTGCCTTGTGATGATGACCTACACCAACATACAACGTATCGTACTTCTCTTTCACTACTTCTTTCATACCAAACTGATCCCAAAGTCGCCTGGCTTGCTTCTCTGCTCCCTCCATCACCATTACATACGCCCCCCGCATCCGCAGCACCGCTGACTGTCCAGACGTTTTACAGGAAGACATGGATGACGTGAATAAGCAGTATGCTGCCCGGCTTCAAGAGTTTCAGGCAGGGACGTTCTGCCACAGGGTCCCACTGCCAGACGCTGGACGGTAGCAGTCCGACATGGTTGACGCTACGCATGGGGCGACGCGGTCAGGATGCACGGAAGGAGTTTGCAAAGCTGTCTGCCAAAAATGACGTGCTTGGCTCAGAAATCTGAGAATGGGTGGACGACATGGGTAGATCAGAACCCAGGAAATCATTCAAAATCCGTTTTAGAGGGCTGGATGATGGTTGATGTGGCGCCCTCTGAAGTGTCCCCGAGGCGCCCTCTGAAGCAGCGCTGGCTGCGGTTGCTCCATACTTTGAAGCAGAGGTCGGTCGTGCGGTCGCGCGATTTGGGCACGCAGGTGGCCGCCTATGCGACAGCTTCTGTGTGCCCATCAGATCAACAAATTCAGGTGTTTTTTCGAATCAACAACCATCCAAAATGAAGTCTGAAGGCAGACGAACATCCGAGTGGTTGAGGGGTTCTGGTGAGGGAGTTTCTCCCATTCTTAAGACGTATCCAAGCCTTAAGACATGAGTTCTGAAGATGTCAAGGAGGAGCACCGTGGACAGTTGGCCGAGGAGCAATCGCAGGCCAGCATAAAACTTATTGTTTCATCTTGTTTCATTTTTGTTGCCTAACGAAACACTGGCATGCACAGACATTCATAAATGATTTGAAGATATTGCTATCGCAGACCTTCAAGAGATGATACGATAGCCCAAACTTGAACAAAGTGAACGTACATGCGACACCAAAATCATGGATGTGTGTTTCTCCTCCACTTCCTTCCTATCGTTTGCTTCGTAGGAAGAGCTGCTGCGTCAGACAGTGACCCAGGCACGGTGAACCATTGAAACCACCGCTCGTTTGGTCGGCTCCTCGTGTCCTCCGAGGCGAAAACGAGGTACCACGGTGCTTTACGGAGCCTGGAAACCTTGAGCAACCAGGTCCCGATTTGAGGGGATGGTTGAGCAACCACGTTCGCGCAAGGAACTCGCCGCAATGAGGATTCGTATTCTGTTATGTGAATTCGATGGGAGAACATGTTGAGAGTTCACTTCGCAACTTTTTGAGTTACTTGGAGGTTTCTTGGCGAAAAGCCAGTTTCTTGGCTCAGGAAGTTTGCCTTGTTTTGGGATGCACATCTCGGCCGTTTTCTTCGCCCCGAACCTCGTGCTGTGCAGGCTCATCTTCGCAGAGCCAGCAGTGGCGTCCTGGAACCGGTGAGCCGCACGGCTACTGAGGCGATTCCGTACCGAAGTGACCGAAGTAACACACTGAGAGATGTCGTATTATGATGATAATTTATGATATGCATCATATATATAGACGGTCTATTGTATTACATAATACAGTTTGTTTTTCTTTTTTTTAATACGGTAGGATTAACACACATATAGGTGGTCGATTTGTGGTACTAGACATTGAAGTCGTTTTGAGACCATACATGCTGGAACACTTGGAACACTTGGATCGCCCAATTTTGCTCACACCGAAATGCAACTGATGGCAGGAACGCCAAGAGAGAATGATGCCAGTGCCTCTGCCACGTGCCATGCGTATTCATGGATGGCTTTTGCTCCAGACTAGTTTCCTCCCAACAAAATGATTCGGATGGAACCAAACGATTCTGCCAAGTGCTTGGCATACCATGGCATACCCACATTTGCTGAACGCGACCTCTAACCAGTCTCTTCTCAAAATCGAACCGAGGAAGAGAAGTCCGACCTGCCAAACACCTGAAAGGCCCACGGACCGCGTTCTTCGCCCACCGCCGTCGTCGTCGCACCCGTCGCAGGCCGCCCAAAGTGCTGCGCGGTGACTCCAGGCGTCCGGACGAAGTTGCGAAGCGGAAGAAGTAGCGAACCTTGTTTCTATTAGCTTCTTGTTACTACTAGTAACAAGTGCCACGCTAGTAGTAACAGGTGCCTTACTAGTAGTA